ACTGCCAGGGAGGTTCTACTCACTAGCTTCTCGCGGCACTACTGTTGCTTACGAAATTGAGAGGACGAAAAGCGAATGTCCGGTGCTTTAACTGGATCTGTGGATATGGAGGATCTACCTAAGGGAGTTGAAAAACCCTGATTCCAAACCAATGGTGCACATGGGCTCCATGATCCTGAGAGCAAATGGTGTATGGACCAGTTGTTGGTCACGGGCTATCAAGGGACTTGAAGTTGCTGCATTGCCTTGTATATCAGACCTTCAGATCGAAGGCTCCGGGCGTGGACCCCTAAGAGAGCCACCTTTGTTTCTCTGGGCACCCAGACAGACTCACAGTCCACACACAAATCAAGTGACTTATGTGGCGCATATGTATTTGGTTCCCTCTTTGAACCAATATTTATGAATTCAAATAAATAAATATCTTGAAGATAATGTTTATTAGCTAAAAACATCGTATCAAGGTGAGTAAATTTCATCGGGTTTATTCGAATCTGTCAAAGTGATTTTTGCTTTCTACAGACCTGATGTAACGATAATTATATAAAAGTAATAACTGGAACACCATTAAAAACTTGAATCTACTTGACATTCATTTTGTGTAATATTTAGATTCTTCAATAGCTCACAGTGAGAAATACACAATCTCTATGTGTTAGTCATGTATTAGAAATGATCTATACCGCACACTAACTCTGACTAAAGCTCTCTAGGATTTCTACTAATTCTTATCCCAGGTAAACTAGGATAGTTGGGTGAAGAGTTAACGAGTCCACCTCGTAAAATGTAACCTCGTTACAAAGGCGCTAATTGCAAAAAAATATTTTAGCTATCTTCTGAACGTTAAAGGGTCCTGATATGAAAGAGTAATGTTGTTTCACAAAGGAAGCTGAGATGTTCCGGGATTCGCTAGGTTGGCGCCCCTTATGATAACCGCGAAAACAATTAGTGCGGTATATGGGATGATGGAACTATATGGAATGCCAGGATAATCATTCAAATAGAGGCGGAAATGAAACGATTCAACTTAGCTCTGTTTGGAACGAGTGAAACTCATTCGATACGACCTCAACAAAAGAGGATAACTTCAGTAGAGCTGTTTTGGTATTCTTTTCACAACTGAGACAATAAAAGGTTGTCCAGGCAAGGTTATTTGGAAACCATCAGTAATAACTTACTTTTTGAGAGAGTAAACTAGCTATCAGCTGAAGAGGAAATTTAGAAAAACAATGTGAATGTATAGGATACACCACGGAAACCATCAAATTGCATCGCTAGGCAAGCCCCAATATAGAACTCTCAAAGTGTTAGGAGAAGATGCAGATCAAATAAAACATTGGGTCGGTAATAGAAGGTAAACATCAAAACTACCATTAGCACTTGACAACAACTGGAAAGGAGCAGCCATGACAGAGTTATTTGGTGAGCCCTGGTCAGTGGCCCATGCTCCAAGTTTGGTATCAAAGTAAATAAGTAAATATAACACAAATTGACTGAAATCAGAACTTGGTAAATTCCAGATACCGTGTTAACCTTTAAGCTATGAATTTCTGGGTTCACTTTGTCCGGCCATCTCAAACGAAAGACAAACAACTCTCTGCTGTTTCGTAATATTCAGCGACTATTTAGACGACATCGGTTTCGTGATATAAAAATTGTCCTCAATCCGTTTATTCTTTAAAATAAGTAAGTGATATTTTGATAAATCAATATACTAAGATTAGTAAGTAAACTAAATGAGCAATTTGAAATATATTTCTGCCGTAAATCTAGTGTTCGTGATACAATGAAAGAATAAATTCTTTGGTGCAAAACAAGGATCAGAAGATTATCATTATACATAATCCACTTCAATGGTAATAATGATGTACACGTAAATACTCATAAACTAAAGATAAAGGTCTAATTTCTTAACTAAAATGAATAAAACTATGTTCATAGAAAGATTGGTTTCTCTTTTTTGTTTAGACATGCCCACATTGAGACACGTCACAATCTTCACAATGACTGTCAGTACGTCAAGCAGATAGTATTGAAATCAGAGAAAAAATGTACCTAAATAAAAATAGTACCTAGACTTTAAAACTACCAACAGAAAAAACAAAAATAATTGATGCTGTCAAGTGGTAAAAAGCAACTTTTTCTGAAGATAGAAAATAGGAGTACTACAATAGGCGTAAAGCTTTAAAACTAGGATTCTCTTCCGCACTAAAGTTGTCACTAAAATATCAAAAATACCTAAAGAAAGTCAATAGAAAACAGTTTCTCTTTGTTCCACAGAAAAGAATATAAAACAAGACTAACAGAAACTGAGAGTTATCAAGTGAGTTAGTGTACTAAAGATTAAGTCGTGGATATATCTAGCTGGTGTCATTAACAAAACATCACTGGGTATATTCAAGATGTCTGATTTGTAAATAAATAGGATAGATTGTATCATCAAGTTGGAATATAGTGTAGACATAAAAGAAAAAATTAAGTTTAGTAATTGCGCATTAATTATAAAGTTGAATAATAACTAAATTATCAATATACGATTACATCATAAACCAAGCGCTAACTTTGAATCCTCAGGGCCAAAGGAAAAGATGCAGATCAAAGAATACGTAGCAAAGGAATCAAAGGCATACATCATAAGAATGAATAGCACTTAACAACAAACACAAAGAAGATCCTGGTACAGAATAGGTTGAAGAATTCTTCTCATCTTCTTATACCCACGAGAGATAACAGGGTCAAGTAAGTAAGTAATAGGGTGGTGGAAATTTTTGAATTTTAACGAACAAAGTAAGTACGGACAACTTTTAGTTTTATAATGAAGCATCATTCTCAATGGAGCTGGATTTATATCCTCGTGATAAGTGTCAATCTTGAAAAGAGTTATTGTGAGATTAACCGTTAATGATGGAAATTAAACGTAACTCACTTTACAATGACTAATTATTGAGTAATAACAGATATCGTTTTTATCTATTTTGATGCCGACTGAATTTTATCCATTGGTCTAAGCGATTTAAAATTATTTGTACTACGTTTTGATGCTATGTGGTCGAAGGAAGTCAATGGGCAACTTTTGACCAAGGTTTCATGCTAACTGACACTATTCTGGGAGGTGTACTTCAGATCTTTGGGTGACTGATGTTCTCAGTGGGATTTAGACTTGGGTCATTTAAATTTTTAGCATATGTAACCACTGAGCAATTCTAACGCCAACTAACATGTAGAACTTTCACATAATACTCTTGCACACTTGAAATTTGAAGTCTAGTATACACCTGTCATGCAGCAATTTAGATAACAGTGTCATATGTTTGAATCCGCGCCTAACAAACATTTCATCACACATTTATGGTGAACTCCCAAAAATGTATGTCATTTCCTATCAAGAAAACAATTAATTCTAATGTAAAGGTTACATTATCATATTACCATTATATGGGTTGAATTTGTGGTTTTCAACAATAATTTATGTTTCAGACGTAAATATTATAGATAATATACCGCACACGACAGTGTAATGTATTTATGTGTTTGCAAGACTAGATCGTTGACATAAACCACTAAAAGAACTGATATCGAAACATAACTCTGGCAGCCTGCTGAATAATTCTTTAAAATAATCCAACGGCGTATTAAGTATGAACCACGAGAATAAAGATACCATATCTCAGAGATCTGAAAGTTAAGCGCTCACTCTAAGTCTTGAAGGTGTTGGATTTGATCCCTGATAAAGTCCTGGATATAAACCACTGAGAAGTCTCACATCAAAATGAAACAACTCTACAGTCCTTCTTGATTGTCCAACTAATATCCGTCTGTGATGTAGACGATGAAATAATTAAGAGCGATTTGAAACACAGACGATTAAAAGATACGAATTTCAAAGGCCATCTTTTACCTAATGTTACTGAATTTATTGCTGATCAACATAAGTTCTACAGACTTGTAGTGTCAGTTATTATGCCAAGCCCATATACCTTATTCTAGCTTTCGGACATCACATTTTATTCATTCTACTCGAGCCATACTTTGACCTTGTTATTGATTCGCTTATTAATCTAGACTGATTTTATATGAGCGTATATGTGTGTGACCTTCTTATCCTATTAATCACATGTCTGTAGCTTAATTTTATCTGACTATAAATATTGAGTAACGCTTAATTAAAATGGAGTTGGCTTCCCAGCCATCCTCCCTGTGCGTCATTTTTGCTTGGCTCTGTTTCATTCACTTCATATACAAAATATATGTATTCACAAATCAACTCTCGTTATTCGACTTATTTAATTCCGTTATTGGCTAACGCGATTAAGTCGACGATTATATACGAGAATAGGTGATAGCAAACATTCGTACGATCTAAATGGAATCAGATCAAATGGGCCACCAAAGACTACATACAAAAACAAATGAGTTTCATTTTTTGATGGGTTGAACAACAGTGACAAATTTAGAAATAATATTCAATTCATGCCCACAGGCATTTATGTTGTTACCGAAATATCGCTATAGACAACAAAGGTAGGTTTGTAAAGCAACATATAAACCTCACACAATTGCTATGCTAACAAACGTTCTTCACCTATTAGCGCATGAAAATTTAGTTTCGTTACAAATTTTCTTGAAACAAACGGGAAGATTTTGCTCTATTTATGTTGATTAAGCCTCATTATTAAACATTTATTGACCTGGTACTGTGAAATAACCAAAAGTATGATGTTTACTCTTCAATAAAACATTCTTTTAAAGACGGTAAACACATTCCAGATAATACACGTCAGCTAGAGTCATTGGTTATTTTTAAAATTGCTTGATGACTAATGATCTTGAAAAAGCTTTAAACCTGAGAACTGTATTGCCCCTTATGAATGAATATTTCTATCTCTTTCAATTTCCGTTGTCAAAATCCCTTACAAATCAGAAATAAATATAAAATGCATTGTTGTCATGTTAAATGACGAAATTTAAAGTCTGACAAAGCACTTGACCATATGACTTACAGAATATTGGTAACTTTTCAGGCTGTGGAAAACTTAATCCCATAGAAAGCGCTTCTTGTACTGCCAGTCGACATATCTCTTTGGTAAGATTTTTAGCACTTGTGTTGAAAATTAGTGATACGGTAACGATGAGAATCAGAGACTCATAGTTTTTTTAAAATTAACGACCGAGTCATAATTACAACTAGACTAATTTTATACAGCTAAAGTTCATTGACATCAATTATATCACGTTTTCAAGTATGTGTATTGAAAGTGTAACATTTTGACTGTTCGTCAAAGGTCAAAAGATCGACATAAATAAACAAAACCAATTTGCAAGACAATTTGGCATTTATGGTACAAGGGGTGAATTTATTTCCTCCCTCTAATACTTTTGCAACGTTCGATGCGTCATATTAAATCTGGATCACTTTCGTATATGTTACGCCAGGATAAACATTACGCAAATATATACACATGTTTGCGAGTGGTTTCATATCTCCTACAAACGTGCAGAGGATAGTTATATACGTAACTTCCTTGTCTTTAATTCGCAATAAAACAATGATTTTGAGAAGCCATTTTTTCATTCTGTTATTTTATAGATCTAAATTATTATTATGGTTCATTTCGTGAATAAACAATAAAATACAAACGGGCAGTACAAATGTCGGAGCTCCAAACTGTATGTCATACTCCTGAAAGTATGCTAACCGGTAAAATCAGAAGTCAAAAATGAGGGAGTTCGAATATTTATTAGACATGTCGAGAAGCATTTGGTCTAAGCTGCATGGAAGTTTCAAGGGATGAGTAGCACGGCGTACCCACTCATCATCTGATACGAATGAGTAACTCAGCACCTTGAGATGGGGTGTGTCCAGTGAAAAAACTAATGAGGTCAGGGTCATTATCGTGGACACGCAGGACTATTTATTCTGGGTATTTATTTACCGCCACACGTTTCATCCATGTATTGTGGCTACTTTAATAACTGTGTAGAAGAAACGTAACATTGCTGAGATGTATAAACGAAAAACAGGGTAAAAAAACTTGCGATGTAACTAGTGCTGCATGAGCATGTCCATGACATGAAAGTGATTAACTTGCAGTAGTGATGTTCAGTTAACTGTCAGTGATCCGTCGTTTAACGTGAAAATGGTCCACTCTAATGGTTACGGCTCAGTAACATTGCACTGTAACAAAAAATTATTGTACGAGTCAAAACCCCACTTTTATTAAATCCTCAGTGTCGCCTGCATTCAAGTGAGTCTTGTAATACCGTTATAATCAGAAACGTTGGAGTTCGATGTTTCCAGTAGTCCTGAATTCCCCAGTGCTACTTCCAAGCACAACAAGGTGGATACAATTAGATGTATCGTATTCGGAATACCATAAAAAGGAACCATTATTTAGCACAAATACCAAACGTACATTAATTTCGTCGATCCACAATATTCAACAACTTCCTCAAAAGTACAAATGGCCTGTTGTATTACTATTGGGCCTTTGACTTCTGGATGAGCTACTGCCAAATCGGAGAATAAAAAATAGAGTGCCTAACATCTCCAGAGAACGAACAAGTGATGAAACGGGACATTTCTTTGTTCGATAACATGATAAGTCTAAACAGTACAACCAAGTTCAGTCGCAAATAACATCAGTTACTGATTAGATGAAATATTCTATCCCACTTAAGACTATGTGTTTTGGCTGAACAGCAGATAATCAACACTGATAGAGTATTCATAATACAGCAGCTGACATCTCAGCAACTCTGAACAGCCGTAACTAAGAGATGACCTCGGTAGTGCACCTTATTTGACGCTCTAGAAGTAAATAGAGTGACTCGTTCTTCCTTGAACCAGCTAAACAGCTGTGAGCTATAAAGTACATTAGAAAATATGTCCTCAGTAGAACCTGTACATGCAATGATTGAGGCAACGAAACCATGAGGAGCAATCGTTCAATTCCAACTACTTATAACTTTCTACAATTTCGGATACAGCGGTGTCACAGGTTTGCAGAACAGATTTAAATAGTTCACTGTCTTGTGGTGGCGTCCGTTAAATCCAGAATACGAAGAATCCCGGTGTCCATGCCATCGATTTTCCTCCGTCCATGCTCCAGTAAGTCCAGCTTAATAAAAAGACGACAACAACTAGTAATGTGATAGCTAATGACATGGCAGACAGACAACACGATACAGAAGAGATAATATCAAAAAAGAATATCCACATCAGCAAAACTTATGATATCTAAACTATTTTTTTCTTCAATGAGCGCAGACACTTGATAAAAACAAATTATTACTATTGGAGAGACGTTTCTACCAATGAGGAAACATTTTTCCACCCGAAGGAGAGGTATGGGTTAATTCAGTTCCCCAATTGTTGAGCGATCACTACAAAAATAACAAACCACAAGATTAACACAATTAGCATACTTCTTATAGTAGCTTCATTCACAACATTTTTGCTTAATCGGTAGTCGTATACTTAATATTACCAGTCTAAAGGTTATGGAACATGTATATCCTATGAAGGCTGGATGTGAAGAGTACGACTCTCATCTTCCTATACCAGCAAACCGAGTGTAAAGACATTTTACGTACGAGACAATAGGTTTACTTCCTGTTTCTTTTACTTACGGCAACTGCACAACAAACCATTGCGCGCGTTGTTGTTTGGACGTGAGTTGTTTCTTAGTAAGCAATGTTCAAGCTGTTAGCTGTGTAAGTAGATTTATTTACAACGACACAAATTCTATAAACCAAAACAGTCAAATCTTGCTTCATAGATTTCACAGTGGACTTACACGTATTATAAACAAACAGCTAAACTATAAAGAATATTAGTTGTTAAAATAAGTAAACTGAGTTTAGACGTATTGGTATATGGAGTAAATTACTGCAATCGCTGAGTCCATACTTTCTATTTCTCTTGCTTATATTCTTGTACTTTAGCTTTCAGCTTCCATGGATCACATGTTGACGAACATCAGAGGAGAAGAAAGCTTGCCAAGGACTACGAGATGCGAAACCATGATTAAATACTATTATTTCAATTTTTTCAAGATTTTCGTATTGATTGTGTGCTAATAATAATCTTTCTAGAATACACAATTGTACTTTTAGACTGTCAAAAAGGCTGTAATTTAGACTGATGTACAGCGTAAAAACAAGCCAGAATACGTCGTTGGGAGAGGCATTGAAGAAAAATATCACATCTAGCCACTAGTATTTTTATATTATTATTAAAGTTTGTCTATGTTAATAGTTTACCTGCCATCATAAGCCGCAGAAAAGTTACAAGTAGAAGATGTCAAACGGAGCTTCACATGTCTAGTGCTAAGATTTGACTCCACTCTCGGCCACATAGCTGAATGTAAGCACCTCTCCTAGGACCTTTGCAACCCCGTTGTTTATCGGACAATCCAATGTTTTTCTCCAAAATAATATATGATTTTTCATTTCTATCATCCTTGCCAATTATGATCCGTGACCCTACCTACAGACTCATGTACAAGGCATATACTCTGCCAACTGTGAAACCACAAAAACCAATGTATTGGGAGTTTCATACATTACTATATATTTTGTAGTGTGACATGCTGACAATGCCTATCCGTAACCGTGACACTAACACCAAATTCAAAAGAATAATGAATATTTTTTAGACTGTACAAAGCCTCGTCAACTATTACCAGAACTCACATCCAAGCTCCGAGGCACTTTCCTATGGGCTGTCTAATATCTAGACTGATCATGAAAATATCAGAGCCCTACTGTCATGATCTTATACACCCACTCGTCATATTCAGAATCGGAGCCCATCATTTTTCATGAGGTTCCATGTCTGTTCTTAAGTTCTATTTCTTGGGTAAAGATAACTCACAAGACCAATGGGTACTGCTTAACTCATGCTATCCTGAAACATAATGAGTTCCTTCTTGTTCATGTTCTATCAGTATGAAAATATTTGGCATCTTAAATTTATTAACGTTCGAATGTTATGTTTTCTTACTTACTTACTGCTTTACAGGGAAGTTGGCCTCAGTCAACCCATGTCTGTAAGCCAGAACATTTTATTTACTTACGAATCCTTATGGTCCAGCTGAATACAACTAATAAATGATACTGATGTCCTAGTCCTAAGCATTATACCATTCCATTCATATTTGCAACTTTCAATCGGTTCTTTTCTTTACAACGAAATCCTCTTACAAACTGAACTGTACTATCATGCTTAAAAACGTCTACTCATATCTTATGAAAATTATGATAATGAAAAGATCAATAATAATTGCCGTGAAGTATGCCGGTTGAGTATCCAAACAGTGTATAACCCTCACGACATTTTGGAAATCACAAACAATCCTAAACTTTCAGCACTTCTGAATTTCCTCCACATACAAAGTTATTTATCTGTTTGTTATCATAGCTCACCCATGTCCTCATGTAAAAAATTGATACCGTAAAACGAAATAAGTCAAAATAATCATGTCTTATCTTTACCATCACGAATAACTAAAACCCACTAGTCACAAACGATATCTGTTCCATTTCTTGAGCTCTTCTCTTTCCTCTTCGTTTCTAGCACAACAATATAACACCAAAGACACATGTGTGAAACATATGGATTTTTCTAATAAATTCCTTAATAAATCCAATATACGAGGAAAAGTTATAGTTCTGTTTAATCAAACACTGTTAAATTTGTTATTGAAATCACTGACAACAAGCTCAAAATAACGCATTGAACTTGACGTATAATGCATTTACAACATTACGTCCTGTTATAAACATCTCTGTTTTTACCACGCACTAATTATTGACAACAGTTGTTTATTTTAACCAAACTATAGTAAAACGCGCTCTTTTAGAACACGGTTACGTCACAAACCGAACTATTCGGTCTGGAAACGGAGTCAAAGAATCGCAGTTTGATTTCGTAGATCAAAAGCGCTTTGAGCGTACTGCGTGTATTGCAGAAAATTATTTCGGAACAAAATTTATATAGACGATTTAGACAAAATATGAAAATGGGAAACATTGTACTATGAGGTGGATGATTGGTGAAGAACAAAATAACTCAATGAAAAGGAAAAGCAACGTTTGATGAATAAAGGTACCTTGGAAGAAAATCCTAAAATACAGTCCTAAAAGATTGGATCAAATGACCCTCCACACTATCACAATGTGATCTCAATTTTCTTGATTTTCGCCTACCGCTTACAAGGTATTTATAGTGTGGTTATTTGGAACAGGGTTCCAGAAGTAGTTTTGAAGTGTTCATTGGGTATCAAACCATTATTGCCTGTGAACAGAAATTGGGAGAATTGTAAATTGAGTAAGTTAATAACAGTTTATACGTACAATATTACAGTGTTGTAAATATGATGAGATAATTTTCAAACGGTCACATACACACACAAGTTGATTGAAGTCACACAGAATAGTAGTTAACTAATTA